CTAGCAACGTTGCCACTTGGGGAAGGAAAGGTTGTTGTACAGTGGAAATATCGTGCGTGTGGCAGGGGGAGAGAGCAGGCAGCAGTCGACGGCAAGGGGGGGGGGGTGTTCGGTACTGGCTGTGTTGCCTCTGTTGTTCGCTGGCTCCCTCTCTCCACCGACCTTGCTGTGAGAGGCGTTCGGCAGATAATAGTGTTACCAGTCCTGCGTTTCTTCGTCGACGTCTTCATCCCTCCCTATCTATTTGAGACTGAGCTAAGAGCTGCTGTCTTACATCATCTCGGAAGCCTGGCCTTAAGAACATTGGATTCATACCTAAAAAATGGGTCCCCGTGGCGCAGTGGTAAAACACTCGTCCGGCGCTTCTGGTCTGGGTTTGTATCCTGGCCGGGGAGGATTTACTGGGCGCCAATAATTAACTGTCGCCTCTGTTCACCCAGCAGTGAATGGGTACCTGGTTGTTAAACGATTTGGCTGTTCGTATTCCGTGGAAAATTAGGATTAAGGACTTGCCCGAAACGCTATGCATGCTAGTGGCTGTACAAAAATGTAAGAACTCTTGTATATATAAATATATAAACGAGACTGCCGACATGTTTTCACTGTTGAAGAGTTTGATGTACCGACCAGTTCAACCAGAGTGAGTCAAGACTGGAGATGGGTCTTCTTATACGGTTCTTTATTATCCAGAACTCATAAATAAAGGAGGGGGAGAGATGTCATCTAGGAGAGTGGCATCATACTTAAAACGTCTGCGTCTTAAGTCTGCAGATTTCTTGGCTACTTTTACTTGCTTGGTTCGGCATGTTGGCTCTGCATGGTAATTGTAGAGTTGAAATCATCTATATGCATGCCCCAAGTGCAATATCTGCCAGTCAAGTTGTGATCATAGCCAACGTTTTCTCTCTCCTATCCCACGAAGGAACTGCTCTCAAGTGTGGGCAATTAGCCTTGTAGCAGTCGGCATTTTTTCTTGTATATGTAAAGGCTAGAGTGCACTCGTCAACATAGGCTAGAGTGCACTCGTCAACATAGGCTAGAGTGCACTCGTCAACATAGGCTAGAGTGCACTCGTCAACATAGGCTAGAGTGCACTCGTCAACATAGGCTAGAGTGCACTCGTCAACATAGGCTAGACTGAAGCCCCATGAATAAACAAATCCACAAGGGCCGTGACGAGGATTCGAACCAACGTCCGAGATCATCATGTGTGCCCCATGAATAAGTTATTGAAGATTGTTAAAGTAGACATTCCATAGCAAGGGGCCCAAACACGCTACCCTGTGGTAAACGGGTATCAGTCGAGTGGTTTTCAGATTCTCTTCCATTGAATACTACCCTAAGGAGTCCGTTCTCGAAGGTAGTCTCTTATCAAAGATGAAGCCCGAGTCACATTACGCTTCAAACTTTGCTAGATCAAATTGCAATATCCTGTCATAGGCACGTGTTATGTCCAGTGCAACAACACAGCTGATCTTGCAGTATTCGAGTGACGGGTGCAACTTAGCGGAAAGGTCTAACAAAATATTCGCTGCAGAACAACCTTTCCTGAAGCCAACATGTCGATCACACAGTGTTCGATGATGATAAAACATAACATGCTGTCAAATGTTGAGTGTCTCGAGAATTTTGCCAGAGATTTCTAAGCAGTGTCATAGACCTATGGAGGTTGTCGTACTGAACCAGGGACCTGCAAAATGGTCTGCCTTTTCCTTCCCTTTTCCCTTATTTCCGGTTTAGTGGTGGGATTGTGTCCTAAGATGAGTATCCCTGCCAGACTTTGACTAGGGACCACCAAGCCTTTGTCCAATAATTCTTCATACAAACAAGTTTTAGTGTTGGTTTTTCTATCTTCATTTCTTTGCTCTTTAAGCACAAGCGCGCGCGCGCACACACAATCATATATATTTTACAAGATATAGCTGCGTGGAGGGACGCAAGCCTCTGATAGTTATTGAGTACTGTTTTCGACTATCAGGCACAGAGTTCTTAATCAGTGGTGGTGTGGAGACTTGTAGCTGCCCTCCGTCCTTGATGAGATGTGCACGATGACTGCCGCTTCACTCTGGTCGGACCCTGCTGGCGTGGGTGTGTGGTGGAGCTGTCTGACCTAGTCTGGGCTCGCTTAGTGGACCCGACAAGTGGCAAGTACCACGTCCTCGCCAGAGTTAGATCGCCTGGGTTCATGAGTAAACTTTGTTTATATAAAACACAATCACACACTCACTCACTCACGACACGCCACACGCACGCGATTACGGGGCTGAGTGGACAGCGGGGTCGTAGTCCTAATGGCCTGGGTTCGATTCCTGGCGGAGGCGGAAACAAATGAGCAGTTTCTTTCACCCTGATGTGCCTGTTCACCTAGCAGTAAATAGGTTCCTGGTAGTTATACAGCTACTACGGGCTGCTTTCTGGGGATGTGTGCGCGCGAGTGTTAGGAATACAGTATATGTAGTAGTAGATGTAATAGAAGAAAAAATAGATTGGTTAGAAAGGCGGGATCCAAGAGCTAAATAGCTCGATTATTCAGACACAAATAGTAAATACGAATGTATATAAATAAAAATGTAAATGCTCGTTTGTTCAAAATCGCTAATCTCCGAAAGTTCTTCACCGATTGCTTTGAAATTTTCACACAACGTTCCACTCGCATCCGAGCAGGTTTATGTACATACTATATCGATGTCACGTCTGTGACGGGAAAAAACATGTTTTTTTTAACTGTTTTTCACGTGAGAAATATCTTCGAATCCTCTTTACCGATTGCTTTGAAATTTTGACGCAACGTTGCATTCAAATAGGCGCGTGTTTTTATATACCTCCTATATACATGCATCACCTGTGACAGGTAAAAACATGATTTTTTTTTAAAGGCACCATCTGTTGGATGTAAGAGCAACACACGTTGTAATCTCCTAAAGTTCTTTATCGATTGCTTTGAAATTTTGACATAACGTTCCATTCGAATATGCGCGTGTTTTTATATACTTACTATATAGATGCCACACCTGTGACAGGTAAAAACATTCTTATTTTAAGAAACGGCTCCATGTGTTGTACGTAAGAGCAACTCATGCTATACTAAATGTTACGATTCCATTTCAATGTTACCGATTTCATTGATGAATTGAATTTTCATATATTTCGATTTGTTTTCATTTTGATTTAATTATTGTGTGTGGCATTGCGTTGGAATTGAGCTGTGTTGTTTATCATACCGGTCATTTCGTGAGTACTGTTTAATTTTTTTATTTTTTCGTTGTTTTTCATTTCGTTTTTTTAACTTGTTTTCCTTATATTTCAGTGATGGGACCATCAGATCATTTGATGCTCTAAATTTTCTGATGGGAACATAAGATTATTTGGGAATGCATCGGACGAGGGAGTGGGGAATGGTGGGGTAGGACAAGGGGACGGGAGTGGGGGATGGTGGGGAGGACGAGGGGAGATGGGATGGGGGTAAAGGTGGGGAGGACGAGGAGATGGGGGAGTGAGAGATGGTTGGGAGGACGAGGGAGTGAAGAATGGTTGGGAGATAGGGAATAGTTGCTGAGCCACAGCAACGCGAGGCCGGGTACAGCTAGTAGTAAATACACAGAGAGAGAGAGATAGGGGATGGGGGGGGGGGTAGGTCTTGAGTGGCTCTGGGCAGGTTTTAAAGAGACAGTAAATGTTGTCTCTAAAATATTCAGTCTCTTCGACTAGTCGGTAAAGCGTCACCTTCGCATTTGAAAGGTTAGCGTTGACTAGACCACACACTAGAAGGTGAAGGGACGACGACGTTTCGGTCCGTCCTGGACCATTCTCAAGTCGACTCAAATATTTCAGCCACGTTATTGTGACTCCTCGTCTGCACTTGTATATCAGTATGTTGCAGAGACAATTGTCTTGACAAATAGGATGTTTGTTTAATTTCTTATTATTATTACCAAAACAGTTGTCAATGTTTTGCATTTTTATTTAGTATTGCTCTACTTAATAAAATTGTATTTTATTGAGTTAAAATATATAACTCTGCGAAGAAGTTGGATATTTATTTGCATGCCAAGGGTTGCCCATCCCTGCACTGGACTACACAAACTACCCTGCAGGCTACTCAAACCTGAATCTAAATCATTTATATATATTATAAACAACAGAGGTCCCCAGGACAGAGCCTTGAGGCACTCCACTAACAACATTATCCCACTCTCTCTCTAACGTGTTAATTAAGAAAAACTGATGTAAATTACAAATACTGTACAGAACTGAAGCCCTTAATCACTCGCGAGATGTTAAAGGTGCCTCTGTAACCCTCTACACCACCGCCCACGAGATGGGGTTTGTTAATAAGTGACTGAATAACTGTTCAAGAAATGATGAGAACCAAAAGACTTAATATTAAATCTATACCTCTTATAGTATTGACTCACCTGCGTACAGGACTATGTACGTACACTAATCAAGAGGATTAAGAAAATGATACAAAAGTACGTCTGAAACTTTAGTAATCCAACTACCACTTACGGGCTATTCATGCCCGTGCTACCTCTTGGATGGCTTAATTTTCATCAATCATTCATTCAGTAATCCGACTTATCATGTCAGATATTCATGACTCCAACATTTCTCGCAAATGATATTGTCAACATTTCCATTCATTGGGGCTCCCCAGTCAGAGAGCTCTTGATGCTACGAATCCAGATGCTCATAGCGAGTCGTGTAGTATTTAATTGACCTTTAGTAATGGAATGTATAAAATAGTAAACTGTGTCTACTATATCTGTACATTTGCATTCATCTCTGCGTCTTTGTAGGTCACAGGTGATAACCTACCTTGAGGTAGGTTGTTGCAAGAATCAATATTCTGGCTTCCCGGTCTCCGACCAGGTCGCTGGGTGGAAACATTAGGAATGATGTAGAGGGTGTGACACTGGTAAGCTGTGTGGTCCCAGTCAGGCCTTACCCGGGGGGCAGGTTTGGTACAGGTGTGTACTGATAGAGGTTGTGTGTTGCAGGTGTAGTGATGGGGCACGATGAATGGGGAGCCGAACACCAACCCGCAAGTGCCCGTCACCACCCTCGCGGGCATCGTCAGCCTCACCGAGTGTAAGTACCAAGTCGCACCCTCTTAGTCACGTCACACGCTCGTCTCTTAACACTGTCACCATCTCTCCCACACTGTGTGTGCTTTCTCTAGCTTCATTTGTTTTGTTGTATCACACTCACCGTCACTAGGTTATTATCTTCACGACAACTAGTACAGTATTTCGTTGCTTGCAATTATCCTGTCTTGTCATTATCACCAACACTTGTTTGCTTAGTTGCAGTAAGCCTCTACGGCAGGTTAAGACCCGTGGCATCATGCCACCGAGTAACGTGGCCTGGTCAGTGCCTCACGACGCTGTATGTTATCGATTTCATATTTTATGCCCTAGTACATGCCAATGTCACCATTCCCCTTCATTATTATCATGCTAAATTAGTAATGACATTTATTTTTACACGATACAACATATTCGTAAATCTTCAGTGTAATTTTTGTTTTCTTTGAATGTTTGTGAACGCTTGCCAGACATTACCCTCATGGTGCCAAAAGCAGTTGTTTATGTTTGTGTGGTACACGTGGAGGTAGGTGGTGGTGGCGTCAGTGGCGTCTCGGGTTCCTTCACAGCCGTGTTTGGAGGAAGCCACGCCAGAAGGACAAGGATGCTATTTGGTGGAACATGTCTCCTGTTTAGGGGGTCACTTCTCTACAGTACAAAATGCTTTTTTATCTCTCGCCCCACTGCAAACAGCAATAAGCTGATTGATTACATCGTCATTCGGGTAAGCATGTCTTCAGTCGGTCTCAAGAAGTATAAAAAAATTGAATGCTGGTCACAGGTAAATTAAAGCCCAGATGCTGCACCCTATCACCCCGACCTGTAAAGCCCAGATGCTGTACCCTATCACCCCGACCTGTAAAGCCCAGATGCTGTACCCTATCACCCCGACCTGTAATGCCTAGATGCTGTATGGCATCTCTGTACCCCATCTCCCCGACCTGTAATGCTGTGACATACCTCACGGCGTCATAAAATATCCGGTGTCGCTCCTTACCACATTCGTCCTGTCCCATCTCCTCTTTCCTTGTAGAACATCTCTCTGTGGGTGGGGGGGGGGGGGGGTTCGTGCTTCGACAACCGTTTTGGGCAGCTCTGGGATGAAATAAGATTTGTGATCCCTCCCTCTCCTCCTCATCCTGCACTCGGGCCGAAACTGTAAACCTAACTCAAAGGTCAAATGAATATTACATTCATATGTTGCCAGTATGTGCGTATTTAAATCGCAAAAGAAGCTGAAATTATAATGTGATGAGTATTACCTGCCTTCCTGTAATGCTCGGCCCCTTTAAATAAATCTCCTTCATTCATCTGTTATTTTATTTTGCTGTTTTAGGGTTTTTATATTTTATAGATAATTGGTTTTAGAATTATTCTTCAAATACTTTGTGAATGTTTAAAATTAAGAAGCTCTAGGTTAAATAACGTTCTGTACATCTATTGTACAACCGAATTTTAAGGACGTTGTGCAGGTAGACATTCTGAGTGTATTGTGATATACAGTATAGTGCATGTGTCTGTTTGAATAATGAGTATAGGTGTACTATTTCGAAGGGTGACTGTGGCTGTTTTTGAAGTGAACGAACAGATTAAAAAGAGACGAGTGGAAGTTTAAAGTTATACTGAGCCCCACTCTCCCCCCCACTGTGGCTGTGATATTAGCGTGTGTATTAGCATGTTGAAACACTTGGACATATGGCGAAATTGATAATTTAATTGTATCGGGGAAGAACAGCAGTTGGTACTTATCACTTACTACGGGGAAGTGAGGTCTAGCTCTTTATGCCCCGTCTACTGGCCTCGTTGTACCTATTGCCTTATAATTGAAGTATTCTGATAATGGTTCCTGGTTGATAACTGGTTGATGGGGTTCTGGGAGTTCTTCTACTCCCCAAGCCCGGCCCGAGGCCAGGCTTGACTTGTGAGAGCTTGGTCCACTAGGCTGTTGCTTGGAGCAGTCCGCAGGCCCACAGACCCACCACAGCCCGGTTGGTCCGGCACTCCTTGGAGGAATAAATCTAGTTTCCTCTTGAAGATGTCCACGGTTGTTCCGGCAATATTTCTTATGCTCGCTGGGAGGACGTTGAACAACCGTGTGGTTCGGAGGTTCGTGTGGTCCCGTCAGCTCGCAATTTGTCTTAGGAGGTTATAAGTATGGGAGGAGGACTATATGAGTCGGGGAGTAGAAGACCTCTCGATATCCTCTCTAGGTAAGATCCAGGTTATGGAAAGTAATGGTTGAACTGAAATATTTTATGTTGTAAGGCATCGCGCACGTTCTTTTTTATTTTTGCCTGCAAGGTGGTTAACAAAAGTGAGGGTTCCAGCTGTGCTGGTTGTCAATAACTACACCTGGAGTGAAGCCACTAGTTATGAAGGATACACACTTGTCTCTTGTCCATAAATACTTCATAATAAGCAAGTTAAGGAAGATGATGATACTCTCTAGCGTTGAGCTCATCTAAATATTATTGTAGTATTGATAGAAATGCTCCTCTCAGATCTACTAAGGTAACTAGTGCGGTTTTCTTTGTTAAAACCAATTAATACATCTTTGTAGAATTTAATTCTGTAGTACTGTAGTTTGTTTTAATGTTTAATGTTTTTATCAAAATTGTTGCTGTATATTTTGTATTTAGTGGAGTGGTATGTTTTTTGCTGAACTAGGTACCTGTGTAAGGTACAAAAAGTGCTTGAACTAGGTACCTGTGTAAGGTACAAAAAGTGCTTGAACTAGGTACTAGGTACCTGTGTAAGGTACAAAAAGTGTCGACGAAATATTGGTAATGTCAAACAAAACAGTAGTAACAATAATCATTAGTGCGAATGTGCACTTGATGGTGAAGCGGGGACACTGGTTCTCATTATTACTGGAGGTAATTCATGCCAGTACACTCGGGCTACTCATGCCCGTGCCATCTCATGGGTGGCTTAATCTTCTTCAATCAATCAATCATTATGTGAGTATGGACTGATGACCGCTCGGTCGTTCCCTCTTCAATGGCATCTAATAAGTCAGGATTGAAGTCACCCATGGCATAACAGATTGTAAATTCCTTCTTGGCATTTTGTAGTAAGTCCTCCAGTATCATAAAAGCCTATTGGTCAGTGGGTGTGAGGTTCACCATACCAATTAATACTACCTCCACTACGGGCTCACCATAGCCCGTGCTGCTTGGCACTTTTTGTTCCAAGTAGCGAATCTTAAACAACAACAACCAATGAATAGTTTACTTGCCTAATGATAGCTTTAATTAATTAAAGGTATACATTCAGTAGGGCCAGACACGCGACATGAATCGTTTATTACCTATACATTATAGCCCTAGCCACTTTCCACATATATGAAGTCTCCACCTTTGGAGTTTCTGCAGTTATTGGTATACTTTGAGGGGGTAATGAGGCAGAAATAGATCTCTGCTCTGGGAGTGGTGGCGGGGGGGGGGGGGCTGCTGCTGCTATTGGAGGCACTTGTCTGGTGAGGTTCACTACTCTTTGTTATTGTAGTCATCACTGATAGGAAACACGGGAGACATCTGCCGTCACGCAGGGTGCAGTCGCACCTCCACAGATCTCCAGTATCAACTATTGATACTGGTAATGGCTCAAAAGGGCCACCACTTACGGGCTATTCATGCCCGTGCCACCTTTTGGGTGGTTTAATCTTCATCTTCATCATCATGATGGGAAAGTGTCCTGTCCTTGATGACTGTGTTTATTGACAAAGTATGCAATCGTATTAGCAGGCTCTCAGTAACTACATGCAGTGGTACTGAGATATATAGCTCTTTCCTTTTAGTTTCCTGCCATTCCGCTTCACAGTCTGCAAATTCCTTCTAGATTACGATGATGGGCTGGCACATGTTGTGTTTGTTTCCCAACACGCTGGCTCTCTTCCATGATTGGGTTCAGTAACAAATTTTTTCCTTGAAGAGCTGCACCTTCTTCAAGGTTTGCTCCAGATTTTCACCTGGAGTCTTTACCACGTAGCCTGGTGGATAGCGCGCAGGACTCGTAATACTGTGGCGCGGGTTCGATTCCCGCACGAGGCAGAAACAAATGGGCAAAGTTTCTTTCACCCTGAATGCCCCTGTTACCTAGCAGTAAATAGGTACCTGGGTGTTAGTCAGCTGTCACGGGCTGCTTCCTGGGGGTGGAGGCCTGGTCGAGGACCGGGCCGCGGGGACACTAAAAGCCCCGAAATCAACTCAAGATAACCCGTCTTGGCCAGTTGCACTTATTGACCATCAACACTGCATGCCAGTATTTTCTTACATCTCTGGCTCACCTGTGTTTCCAACTGTGACCCTTCGTTCCGTTGTCTCTCGTGGAAGTGGTTATCTTGAGATGATTTCGGGGCTTTAGTGTCTCCGCGGCCCGGTCCTCGACCAGGCCTCCACCCCCAGGAAGCAGCCCGTGACAGCTGACTAACACCCAGGTACCTATTTTACTGCTAGGTAACAGATAGGGTGAAAGACGAACCCGGGACCACAGGATCACAAGTCCAGCGTGCTGTCCACTCAGCCGACCGGCTCCCTAATCCCGGTGCCTGTGTTATTTTGTGATCATCCCGCCTTTGGTTGTTGTCTCTTCTGGCGTTAGAAGTTAGTGATGTGGTGTTTGTGTTAGTGATGTTTAATGTGCAACAATATTCCACCCTAGAGAGCACTAGTGTCTTGAAGAGTATTATCATTGGTATGGCATCTCTTGCTTGAATGGTTCTTCTTATCCAACCTTGATTTTTTCTGGCAGTTGTGACAGCTACTTTATTGTTCTTTAAAAGTAAAGTTTTCCGACATGATTACTCCCACAATCTTTTCTTTCAGTAGTGTGGTTTGACTGCATTTTATGTGGGGTTTCCGTTTTGACATCTTGTTTTTCTTAGCGCAGTAGCCGGAACTTCTCAATAAACATGTTTTCTTTGGCCCATTGAACAACTCTCGAAATCAACTACGTGTAAATTACAGGAAAGGTTATATATTGGCAGAAAAAAAAGGGTAGTCA